GTACTAGACTTCTAGGGCGGCTGCCACCCCTTAGGTGTAAGTCATATGAATGTCCTACCACGATGGGATACAACTGCTACTGATACAGTTGAAGGTGTACTGTAATTGCACCAGGGGGTGGGCTCGGGTAACAACAACAACAACATGTTGCTAAACTACCTGCCAAGGAGGCCAGACCCTGTTAATAGGAGGCCCCTGGGTGCAGCAGAGTCAGGGATGAGTCCGGGTCGACTCAACTCGGGAAAGTGCCAGAATCACATGGCAGCCTCTACCAACACTCAGTGCGCACACCCCCACCCTGGACCATTTGGTTCCAAAACTTGTGGAGACAACTGGGCACCACGGGGGTTTTAAGTGCCCACATGACTCCAGTATGCTAACAGGAAGCTAGTGAGTGGAGCTAAACTGCTAACACGAGCACTAGCTGGTCAAGCCAGACCAGAGGGGAAAGGAGAAGTTGTAGGGTACGTGATGGTGAGGGGGGGCAATAGGAAGTCCTTTGGGGATGTGTGGGAGAAAAGGAACTGCAAAGAAAACATCTTTTTTTTTTCCAGTAAAGGAAATTTTCAAAATACAGAAAAGTGGCGAGAACAGTACGATGACCCTACTATCTGTTACCAGCCTCATCCATTGCCAACACTGAATCCTTCCCGTGGGGGGTCAGGGGGGTTTACGGTGTGGGCCATAGGGAGACGAAGTGCCCAGAGTCCCTGGGAAACTCCTGTAAAGCCCACACTGCTCACTGGTGACCCGGTGACATTGGATCCTTGGCGGGAACACAGAAGCCGGCGCCAAGCTCTCAGGGCAGGACAAGCTTTGATAGGAGAGCCAACAGCTGGGACACAAGGACTTTTGTATGAAGGGAGAAAAAAGTTATATTTTAAGAGAAATCCCCACCCGTTTGGACCAGTCTCCTACGTTCTCAGGTGTTGGGACAGGGCCTTGAGGCTTACCCCTAAAAGGATTAAAGAGGCGAGGGGGCTAGCCTGGGAACACCCAGGGGTGGCAGCTGGGCCGGGATGTCCCCAGGAAGTCAGGTCCTCTTGTCATCGGACAGAGCTTCCCTGTGCACCTGCCACATGCCAGACGCTGTGTTCTAGGTTGTGGGGACGCTGACAACAGCTCACACTCTAGTGCTGGAGATGGACAGTAAAGAGGAAGTGGGATATGGAGCGTGTCAGATGGCCTTAGGTGCTACACAGAAGAAAAGCAGGGAAGGCGACTGGGGTGGGTAGATAATAAGGTGCTCAGGACAGGCCTGTCTGCTGAGGTGACCAGACCAGAAGAGTGAGAGAGACACCTGGGAGGAGCGTGACAGGCAGACGGGACAGCCAATGCAAAGGCCTGGGAGTGAGAGCTCCTCCCACTCTGTGTAGCTGGTCAGTGGGGCAGCTGGGGACAGAGGCGGCAGGTGAGGTCAAGGAGGCGGGTCTCTGAGGAGCACTGGTGAGAACAGAGCATGAGACCTTGAGGCTCTGTGTAGAGACCTTTGTTTTTTCCTGAGTGAGAAGGGGAGCGATTGGTAGGTTTTGAGCTAGAACAGCACTGTCCAGCCTTTGCCAGCTCATGGCAACACATAAACGAATTACTAACATTCGGCGGCACACCAAAAATATGTGATATTTTTTGCCGATCTGACAAAAAAAAGGTATAATTTTGATTCATTCACACCAGATGGCTGTTGTCGTGTTGGCTGTTGTCACTTTTTTTAAATTTGACAATCTTAGGGAAAAGAGGTCAGTGCCCTGACTAAATAGTCAGGTATTGCACATTTTAAAGATTCTTGCAGCACGCCATTTGGAAATCGCTGAGCTAGAGGACTGCGAGCTCTGGCTGAGGTTGCAACGGGATCCCCCCTTGTTGAGTGCAAGACAACTGCAGGAGGCGAGGACAGAGGCAGGAGAAAGCTGTTACGGTCACCCCAGGTCACAGGGGGTGGCAGCTCAGACCAGGACGGTCGTGCTGGGCATGGTGAAACGTGGTCAGTTCATGGCTATGTTAGGAAGGTAGAGCCAACAGGATATGTTGGAGCCTGAGAGAGGAGAGAGGGGAGGAATGACACCAAGATGTTTGATCTCAGCAGCTAGCATGTGGGCTGGCGTTCCCTGGGCTGGAGATCCTGCTGGAGTCAGGGGCTTGGGTGGTTGAGAATTCCATTCTGAACAGATTAGATTTTAGTTGCCTGGGCAACACAACATGCAAATACCAAGTCCTCCACTGGACACAGGAGTCTGGAGGGCAGTGGAGAGGCCTGGCCTAGAGTCCTCCCAGGTGGTCATGAGATCACCGAGAGCGTGATCACAGATGGCGAAGTAGATCAAGGACTGACCTGGGGTTCTGCTGTCACAGGGAGGGGGCCAGGCCTGGGATTGCTCGGGGGTCCTAGTGCTATTCCTCCTCTCCATTGGCCACTTCCAATTCTTCACATGTGCCCTGAAGTTAAAGGTGAAGGTTGAGCCAGCCTCATTTTAGTTGAAAAGGGCAGAAACTCTCAGGTTCACTTGAGCCACCGGGATTGCAGGGATTGGAAGGCAGGGCTTTGACCAGGCCCCACAGAGTGCAATCTAACCACCAGGAAATCGTTCCGGACCTGGACCCGTGCCCTAAGGACTGAGCTCATTCATGGCCCGCTCAGCACCGGGCCTGATATTCCTTCACCTCCTCCTCCTCTCCGCTCTCTTCCTCTCTGCCCCCTGAGGTTTTGGCTTACTCGTTGCCCTGTGCCTCCGCATTGTCTTGGCATTATCTGATCTTGTTAGGTCTTTCAGCTTTGATGCATTTTATGCCCTAACACTCCGTGATGCAAATTCAAACTGGCAGCCCTGATTGGTGATGATTAGTTTAGTTAATTGCACTCAGCCCTGCTGGGTGGAGCTTTTGCATCAGGGCTGTCTCATTGGCTGCTGACTAGCCTAAATCTTTGCAGCCTTTGGGTCAGGTGACTTCTACTCCAATCAGGTACTGCAGTAGTTGCGGAGGTGCTATTGGGGACAGAATATAAGGTCCATGACCTTATATTGATTAAGGTGGGCTCTGAATCAGACAGCCTGGGCTGAGGTTCTAACCCAGCTCCACCATTGATTGTGACCTTGGACAGCTTATTCAACCTAACTGTACCGCCATCTCTGTCTCGCTCGGTGGAGAATAATAGTTAACTACAACTTAAGGTTGTGATGAGTATATAAGTTAATCAATGAAACACATAGCACAGCATTTAATTAGGACTCAAAAATGTTAATTCTTATTGTCCTAACTTCCATTTGGATAGTTCATCTCACTAAGTTAGATGTTTTGTAACTGTACCTCCATCTCTGTCTCGCTAGGTGGAGAATAATAGTTAACTACAACTTAAGGTTGTGATGAGTATATAAGTTAATCAATGAAACACATAGCACAGCATTTAACTAGGACTCAAAAATGTTAATTCTTATTGTCCCAACTTCCATTTGGATAGAGGTGTTTTGTATGTTTTTGTTGATTTCAGAGAGGGAGAGGAAGGGAGAGATAGAAACAGCAATGATGAAAGAGAATCATTGATCTGCTGCCTCCTGCATGCCCCACACTGGGAATCGAGCCCACAACCTGGGCATGTGCCCTGACCAGAAAGCGAATCATTACCTCCTGGTTCATAGATCGACACTCAACCACTGAGCCACGCCGGCCAGGCTAAGTTAGGTGCTTTTAAGACATATTCTCATTCAGTTCTTCACAAAATGCAGATGAAATAAGCTGTCTTTTCAATCCCATCATCCAGATGTGAAAATGAAAATACAGAGGTTACTTTGCTTGCCCTAGAGCCCTCAGTGAGTAAGAGATGGAGTTGGGATTCAGACACAGGTTTGTCTGGCTCCAGCACCACTGTTCCGAATCACTACGCCCCTGACAGGGCATCTATGTGTAAACGCCCCGTTTGGCCACTTCCTCTGGGAGGTCGTGGACAGGAGCCCCCCAGGAGTTAACCCTGCTCCCCCCTGCTCTCCCTGTGCTACAGGGGATAATGCCTAGGTCCCTAAATGCAATCTGCTGAAGCGGGACTGGTGCCTCACCAGCTCCGGTCTGCAAAGGCAGTTCCTCCCTGGATAAGTTAGCAGAGTACGGCGTATTCCTCCCATTTGACAGATGCAGAAACTGAGACTCGGCGAAAAGATAGAAGCAGGATTTGAATCCAGACATGTCTGTCCCTTTCCCCTTCTCCATACTCCCCCATTTTATGGGGCAAAACTGAACCCCAGGGGATCTGGGAGCCCCTGTAAGTTCCCAAACAGAGTGAAGTAAAGGCCAGAAGAACCGGGGTTCAGAACAGAGAACCTCAGAGCTGGACGGCACCTCCTTTAAGGCCAGGAGTCGCTGGGCCTTACTCTGACCACTGCTTAGTAACGTAGCCAGTTCTGCAAAGTCTCCTACTCATGGCCCGAGGGTCATTCAGGGTTTAAGGAAACGAAGTGGCATGAAATCCTGGTGCCTGTTTGGTTTCATGAAGTAGGCCTGTCTGACCCCGGGGCTCAGTGCAGGCTTCCCGGCGGAAGGAGCACAGGGCGGACAGGGCACCTGCAGATTCTTGGCTCACACTTGCCTCTTCTAACACACACCGTGCAGGCCTTGCCCATGCTCCAGGGTGGGTCACCAGTAACAGTCCCTGGGCCTCACAGGTGGGTGCCTCAGCACATGCCTGGAATCTGACAGACAAGGATTTGAATCTCCACCGTGCACCTACTCACTGTGTGGCTTGGGGCAAGTCACTTAACCTCTCTGGGCTTCCGTTCTCACATGTATGATCCTCTTTCATGGAGTTACTGAAGATGGAGTAAAATATGTTCCCATAGTGCTTGTTGCAAATGCTCCTGTTGTTATTTTAGACATTAAAATCCCACGGCCCCATACAAAAAACTTCACACACTCGCTGTTGGCATGGGAATAACTAAAATAATCACCTTTTAGGAACATACAAAATAATTAGAAGGAAAGATTATTTTGGTGACAGTGTGGAGGATACATTAGGAGGGAAGGATTGGAAATAAGATATGTTCGTTAGGAATATGTTTAGCTGTTGGTAGCAAAAAAATTCAACTGTGGCCAGATTTCTAATTGTTCTTTAATATCCATTCTCCTCTCCTTCCTTAGTGACTAGAACCCCTACATTTCAGCTGGACCCATGGCAACCTGTAATGAAGATTACATATTCCCTCCTTCGTCTTAAGTACGGCCATGTGAGTTCTTGCCAATGAAAAATATTTTGTGTGACTTCTAGAAAATGCCTTAAAAGGGAGGGTATCCATCTTATGCCTCTCTTTCTCCTTGCTGGCGGGAATTGAGATGTGATGGCGGGATCTCAAGCAGCCATTTTAAATGGACCACGAGGTAAATTAAAGATGGGTGCTGATTCTTTGACTCTCCTTCCTTCCAGAGGAATTGTCTAATTGAGAGAGTCTATTTCCGCTCCACTTGAATCTGGACTGACCTGTGACCTCTAGGCCCACAATAAAATATATATTTTTTTTTTTTAAAAAAAGGAGGGTATACATCTTATGCCTCTCTTTCTCCTTGCTGGCTGGAATTGAGATGTGATGACTGGATCTCAAGCAGCCATTTTAAATGGACCACGAGGTAAATTAAAGATGGGTGCTGATTCTTTGACTCTCCTTCCTTCCAGAGTCCTGCCAGGGGGCCCCTGCCAAGCTGGGAGCCATCACCCTCCTGCTGCACCGCCAGCGCTTTCTCTAGAAAGGAAAGCGATCAGCTACTCAGTCCAGGGCTGACTTCAAAATGCACGTTTGCCAAGACCGGTGTGGCTCAGTGGATAGAGCGTCGGCCTGCAGACTGAAAGGTCCCAGGTTCGATTCCCGTCAAGGGCATGTACCTTGATTGTGGGCACATCCCCAGTAGGGGGTGTGCAGGAGGCAGCTGACCGATGTTTCTCTCTCATCCATGTTTCTAACTCTTTATTCCTCTCCCTCTCCCTTCCTCTCTGTAAAAAATCAATAAAATATATATTTTTTAAAATAGTGCTCTGCCAATTCTGGGCCTAGCCCTTAAGAGAACAGGCAGCGTCTGCCAAGGCCTCTTGGATCCATGCGCTGCCACGGAAAAGGTCAAGCCACTCTGCAGAAGAGACCACCTGGAGGGGCCCCATGACTGCCTGGCGAAGGAGAGGAACCCATTCGAGCTCAGCGTCGCAGTCACCCCACGAAGCACTGGCCATTCCAGGATTGCCATCTCCAGCCTCAGGTGAGCCCAGCCTGAACACAACCAAGTGACTAATGCCTGTAGATCCATCGAAAGATCCCCAACTTAGACCTCTCCAAATTTCTGACCCACAAAACTGTAGAAAATAATAAAAATGGTTGTTGTTTGGGGGTAGTTTGTTATGTAGCAATAAATGACCAGAACCGACCATGAAGTAGAAGCTGTTTGCTGAGGATGTTGCAACAATGACACCAGCTCCGATCTGGCAGGCCCAGATTTTTTGTTACATGAGAAAAGCAGACCCTATTTGTTTGAGCCTGGCTGATCCCTGGGGCTACAGCTCAGGGCCTCAGTTTCCCACAACTGTTAAATGGAGCATTAGCTTCTGCCCTATTACCTCCCAAAGTGCCTGAGAGGACAGCATAAGAATCAAGGCCTTTCTTATCCTAATGTATAAAAAGCCAGGGGCCATCATGACAGAAACAACCAGATGGACGACCAAACACAGGCTTTGTGGGGCAATAAGGCCAGCGGGGGATGGGAGGGGGCAGTTGGGGGCGACCAGGCTGGCAGAGGGGGGCAGTTGGGTTGACCAGGCCAGAGGGGGTGGAGGGTGGGGGCAGTTAGGGGCAATCAGGCAGGTAGGCAGGTGAGCAGTTAGGAGCCAGCGGTCCCGGATTGTGAGAGGGGTGTCTGACTGCCAGTTTAGGCCTAAACCGGCAGTTGGACATCCCCTGAGGGGTCCCAGATTGGAGAGGGTGCAGGCTAAGCTGAGGAGACCCCCACCCCTGCCCCATGCACAAATTTCATGCACCGGGCCTCTAGTGTAATAGAAAGAGTCCTTGTGTCCAGAGAGACTGAATGACATGCTCAGGTTGTTATAGTATATTTAATGTGCTCATAATGACTGTGAACTTGTCATGAGACAATTGTAAAGGATTTTGGAGTCAGATGCATTAGGGCTCAAGGCTCATTTCTGTTCCTTTATAATGTGACAAATTGGGTCAGTCGCTAAATCTCTCCACGCCTTGGTTTCCTCATCAATAAAACACAGACGGTGCTATTTCCCTTGTAGAGTCTGCATGAGGAATAAATTAAATGAGATTAATTCATCTAAAAGATAAATATCTCTTATGTGCTTGGCCAGACCCACTCCTGGTATTGGTGGGACCCCGGGGCCACTCACCCCCCAGATCTAAGTATTTAAAAACTATAAATCAAGCTAATACATTGTTTTAAAATGTTCTCTCTTTCTCCTTGATGAATATAACTTCAGAACACGCTGGAAGGCCAGCTTCAATTTGAAACCTCAGACCCCTCCTACAGCTTTGCTGAAACGTAGAGTGGGGGTGAGGAGAGCTGGCCTCATCCCTCCTGCCCCAACCTGCTCCCTTCCCTTCTTACCCTCAGCTCTGCCCACACTGTGCAGATCCCACATGTAGGTGTGTAGACACCTCAGGCTGCCTGTCCGATTTCCCGCTACCCCCGACTCCATGCTGCCCTTTGGCTACATCCTGGGCCTAGTGTCTTGCCTGCAGAGCACAGGCCCTAGAAGCAGGCTTGGGGCCTTTGGGCAGGAAGCACAGAGGTCCTGGGACCCCAAAGTACATCTAGACAGGGGGCAACGGCTTGGGTGGGTATGTCCCCCTGGCCTTGTGCGGACATATGCAGCTGAATCGAAGGGACTCACTCCTTCAGTCTGGACCTCAGTCTCACTCCAGTCTGTAAGATGAGGGCTCAGCTGATCTGACATCTCCAAGTCCGTTGGAGACCAAGGGCTGGCATTTGAAAGGGCCTCGGCCATCTAGTCCAGCCCATTCACCCACACTTCCCTCCAGCAGTCATAGCAGTAGGCCTTCCCATCACACCTGCAACAAACGCTCGTTGCCAAGCCTGTGGGGCCTCTGGTCGTCTCCACTCTCCTCGCCCCTCACTCCAGACCTTGCTCACTGAGCCCCAGGCCCCTTGACCCTCCTGTGTGTATGAAACACACGGAGTCCATGTGTGCCGCCCACCTCAGGCCTTGCTCTTGCTGTTCCCTCTGCCTGGGCACCCAACTCCTTGCAGGCCTGGATCCTCTCCTCATTCCAGCCTCAGCTTAAATGGCCCCAGGACACAGAGAGGGTCACACCCTCTTGGGAACAGCTCTCTTCCAGGCCCAGCACTCTGAATGTCACCATCTTACATCCTTCTTGCAGAGCCAGAGGTGGTAGAGTGGAGAGGTTAAGAAGCCTCACTCGCAGCCCAACTATCTGCACCCAAGTTTGGTCTCCTCCATCCACTGGACACTTTTGTAAATTGTTCAACCTGTTTTCCCAAGAATACAGATGGCTCCTGGGGTTACAATGGGGTTGCACCCTGATAAACCCAGCGCTGGTTGAAAGTATCGAAGTCGGAAATGCATTTAACATACCTAACCTAGGGAACCTCGTAGCTTAGCCCAGCCTACCTGAAACGTACTCAGAACATGTACGTTAGCCCACAGTTGGGCAATTATGTTGGGCTTCATCTAAGTGCCTTCTTCTTCTCACCAGAAGCAGGAGACACAGATGGGCATTTGTAGGGCGCGGCTATAGGGTTAAGCCTCAGACTGACCTGTTGGCAAAGCCACAAATAAGTCCCAGCTTAGAGGGCACAGTCCTCTTAGCATAATTAGGCTTGACCCTGGGTGGCTAATGGGCTGAGGGAGATGTAGCAAGTGCTGCCAAAACAAGTGAAACTCACAAGAACATCGTAGCTATGGTGACCACTACCTCCTTTACCTCTGGCTATAAAATAAAGGCTCAGCTTGCCTCTGCATCTCCCTCTGTGGCCTCAGCCAGGCACAGGAAGATCCACCTAGACCAGTGGTCGGCAAACTCTTTAGTCAACAGAGCCAAATATCAACAGTACAACGATTGAAATTTCTTTTGAGAGCCAAATTTTTTAAACTTAAACTATACAGGTAAGTACATTGTTACTAACTTAATTAGGAAGAGCCACCCTCAAGGGGCTAAAGAGCCACATGTGGCTCCTGAGCTGCACTTTGCCGAACCCGGACCTAGACCCAGCTTATTCTCTTTGTCTGTCATTTCTTCATCCTTCACCGCCCTCACTCAGGCTTGCAGAACCCTTGACTGAGCTGGCTCGGCACAGGCATTTTGTAGACATGATGGAATGTGGAAACAAAACACAATATAGGCAACATGGTAGATGGTTATTTACCTTCACGACCGGGTGGCTGAGAGCAGAGAATATTTGAGCTGGGTGGGGGGGGGGGGGTCACAATTTTTTGGGGGGGGGGGGGGGGATCACAATTCAGAGTTCTAAGTATGGTTTCTAATGACTGAGTATCACTTTCGAACCTTCCTAAGTCAACCCATCATAATGTAAGTGGGGACCGGCTGTGTATGATTCACCTTCTCATTTCCCTTGAACAGATGATTCAACCTCCACGTTCCCATCCGAGAAAGGGGGTGATAATTACTCTATCGCTTAGGTTTATTGTGAGATTAAAAGAACCAACGCCCATAGTTATAGCATTTAGAACAGAGCCTGGCACAGGCGGTACATCTGTGTGCCATTATATGAGCACTTGTTATTTGAAATTATCTTGTCTGCTTATTTCTTTGTTTGCTGTGCCCTTTTTCTCTGAAAGGCGAACTCCTCACAGCAGCCCCTTTGTCTGCCCGCCTCCCCTCTCCCCCCAGCTGCCTCCCACGGTGCCCCAAACGAATTCCAACAAGGAGCTGGCAGGGGGCTGAGCCCTTGTATACGCATCCCCGTGCAGATGGCGACACTGAGGCAGGGGCGG